TAACACTTGATACCCGCGGTGAATGCTTGTCATCACTAGATATTGTACATACGCACAAATACTACTTTACACTGCTTAGTGTATTTTATTGATATACTAATTGTGTTTATGCAACATGCGCAGTGCCGGTGCATGGAGCACATCATAAGGTCGTTCAGTTCAACTGCAGGAGCGTGGCATTCTTTTATTTATCAAAGGCAAAGAGAATATGGCCCCATGCTAGCCAGTCATGATGTACAGTCTATAAAGATTACTTACGTCGTTTCGTAGTTCTTTTAAAATTTAAGCTCTATCTTTCTAAAACTCCGTTTGAGATCATTTTTCAGGGTACTTGTTAGAGCAATGATTTGTGTAAACTCTGGTCTTAATTATTAGAGATCTTAATATGCATTGGAGGTCTAAGCACAATCATTGCAGTCTCTTGCAAAATCATTAAACTTCAGCCAATCTTCTCGTATTTTTCTGAGAATTATGTAAAAAATAAAAATATACTATGAACTGATTTGAAAGTTTTGAAAAGTAAAAACATCTAAACATTCTTAGAATTTGTCGAAATGTGTGGCTACTAGTGACGCGCTCGGTGTATCGGCGTCGATAACCCCGCCCTCTGACCGCGATAGCGTGCGCGCGCGCTGCTAACAGGTAATTAGTGCGGCGATAACGCGCATCGATGATATCGATAAACTTTCGGTTATCGATATTGGCAATTCCGGTGATTAGGATTATAATGATCAATATTTAGCATAATAGAGGCAAATGGTAAACCAATTGATTGGTTAACCGTAAACAGTAGAAAGCGTGGGACGTCCACCCACAAGGTGGACCGACGACATCATAAAGGTAGCAGGGAAGCGCTGTACGCAGGCCGCTACCAATCGATCAACATGGAAAGCATTGGTTCAGCAGTGGACGTCCTATGGCTGAAATGATGATGATGATGAGTAGAAAGCCAGTGGGACCATTTGAGACTGCTAGGAAGATGAAAAACGACATCACACAATAATTATTAAGCTGTTTGCAAGGGTCTGACTCATTAAAGATTGATTGACCATGACTAAAACATAGCAAGCAATGGAGCAAATAAATGTGATGATATTTACCTTGAATCAAATGATCCACGAAAAGATGACACCTATTTAATAATTTCAAACATTTATCATACTTTTACTAGGGCTTAATATCAACCTAATTTCATAGGACTGTTAACTAAACCATTTAGCAATCAGCTCATTCATAATACCTGCTGCCAGACGTGACAGTGATTCAAAGGAGCTGACGACAAGATCATTTAATCGATGCATGTCAGACAGACGTCTTTGGATTCTTGGCAGCCAAAATAATATTCATAGTTTTCTTCGTATCATATAACTGTAGTACTCGTAAGTTCATACAGAGATTCATATTATATTCTATAGTGCACTAAATGTTAGTTTTGTGCCAGATATTGCCTTTTTCAGCAGTGTTTCCACCTTACATACTCGTAGGTGTTGAGTTGAAGCAAAATTACTAATGTGCGTTTGTTATGTTCAATGTTACTTTATAGACATCACGATCACGTAGTATGTTTTCGATAATCGTATTAATGGACGTAAGTGCCTCCACCTTCTGCCGGATCGACACTTACCATCTGGTGAGATACAGGCCAAGAGCTTCCACGTTGTGGATTTAAAAAAAAGTGCATTATATTGGTACTATCTATTGCAGCCTTGAAGGGAGCCTTCGCTGCATAGCCCTATAGCAGCAGATACGGTTGTCATCTGCCGTCGGAGCTTGACCCATTCATTTCTTTTTTCTTTCTTACTAAACCATGAAGCTGTAGATCCTGGCTACACATGAGTTGCAGCTGTGGGAACGAGAGGTGGAAATAGTCCCGTTACTAAACCATAAGCCAAGCAAAGCTTGACGTAGTAACTTACATGGTTCTAGGTATGAATCGTCTTTCTCATGACACAGGAATTCAAATCCGCAACTGTTTGCGCGCTGTTAGCGCTTTATTTCTGTTACGCAGCTGTCAAACTACATTCTGTTCAAGGTTTTCTCGCGAAGAGATACTGCAGATCCAAACGATACAATCAATTACTTCGCGTTCTGGGTCATTCTGGTTCAGGGATGTTTATACGCTTCTTTATCGCAACTCAACTGTAAAGCAGTGTACGGCATAGATACTAAGTATATTAGATCTGTGAGGATCCGTATACTACGAGTGTGATTTCATACTATTATATTCTTGATTGGTGAAGTCTATTTTCCCATTCGTCAAGGTAGTGCCAATAGCCTCTCATGGTCATTAGGTATGCGTAGAGCTTTCCTCCGTGAAAAGAAAATGCACTCTACTTATTTTTCAGGAGCTCCCCTTTCCATCTCCTGTCTTTATTCCTTGAAGAAAACTTCTACCAATCATATCTCCAGGTGCATTTGTCCAAACAAAATAAATAAAAATAAATTTTAACTCTTGTTTGTGGAATATTTTCACCATCTGTTTTTTGTGCACTACATAATATTATGTAGAGCTTTGGCTTATTATTCTTTATGAACCCTCAGACACAGGCCCACAGGACGTCGTCCATTGCTGAATATAGCAGGTAATGATTTTCATTTTGACCGTTTGGTAGCGGCCTGAATGATCCTGAATCTGCATCCAGCGCCTTCCTGCTACCTTTATGAGGTCGTCGGTTCATCTTGCGTGTGGACGTCCCACGCTGCGCTTTCCAGTACGTTGTCTCCACCCCAGAACTTTGTTGTCCCATCGGCCGTAAGTTCTGAGTACTATTGCCTATACAGCTTGCTAATCCGTCGGGATAGGTCAGCGACTTTAGTACGTTTACGGGTCTTCTCATTTCTGATTCGATAGCGTAAAGAAAAACCAAGCATGGGGGCTTCATGTGAGTACGCGTATAATTGACCAATATGGATTACGCCACCCACTGCTCTATTGGGTCAGACCTTGAGTATACTAGAGTTTCTGTCGGCTCTGTCATTGCATCATGCCATTACTCACCGATATCTGCTAATTCTTAAAACAAAACACATCAGCCGCATATGCTCTGCTTAAAACTGCCCACCCCCAATCATAAAATGATAGTTAATTGTTTTGAATTACCCTTATGAGTTTTGAATTTGCCGATAGATCCCTAACAATGAACAAATGATTCGGCACAAGACAGAGTGCGTGCCAAAATACATGTCACGTTCTTGAAATTCTCTGTTATTAAATGTCAGACCCGATAAACTTTATCTCGGGCCTGTGAGTAACTGGTATTGAGATTGATGATGATTACACAATTTAATTATTTGTTTTGTTGACAATATAGTTTCGCAAAATGACACGACGTTTTTAGTTGTTTTTTTTTTATTTCAGTTCAATTTCGTGTTCATCTGGTAATCTTTCACCTATTATAGTATCATCGGTATTATATTGGGTAGTTATCTTTCCTGTCTTATTCATCAATTCAGAATTAGTTTTCAATTCAAGACTTGGAATTACAGGTGGACAGGAATTTTTTTCAGGAGAATATCTTGAAAGACATAAAATAAAGGATAATACAGTCTGTTTCAAGCCACGAGACTGATGTTTAACCGACGTGCTGATCCAAATAGTACGAAGCAAATTTTTCCTAGAAAATGATGCGTTTTTTCGGCAAACCTGTTTTACTTTGTATGGTACCTATACCAATCTTTCAGCAGCACCGGCATCATCATAGTAAGTCATATAGATTTTTAAATTTCCTAATTTCTTTTTGGTTAATTGCTCTTGGTGGTACACAATAATTGCAATGAACATCATGATTACACGACCGTAATAATTAGCTATACTCGTACTTGTATATCTCCTGCTGTAACATGCAACGAGTGTAAAAGTTTTCGCCAGTTTCTTATGAATGCCTGTAACTGTATAAATAATGTGGGATTCTTTTTATGGTTTATTTTTTTTTAATCTACCTCTCTCTCTATCTCCTTATCTTCTGAATAAGAGTTGCTTAACATCATTTTTTATGTCATAACTTATAAATGAATAATCTAGATAAGTATACGAGTACATGATAATATTTTCTTTAAGTTTTAAAGAAGCGTGTTAATAAGAGTTAATTTCTCTTCACACTAGATAATCTTATTGTTGGTTCTGCTAGAAAAGGGGTTGATTTTTCTTCTTTTTTTTCTTTTCATTTTGAGCATCCTGATTCCTAGTGCGGATATTATATCAATGTATGTATGATACTTTTAAGACAAAGATGCTTAAATTGGAATCTTCTGAGAAATAGTTTTAACGGAAACTCTCATTAATTTAAAATCATTAAAAAGAGAGGTGCCTACGATTCCAGAGCTAGGACCTTCTGTTCGTCACGAGAAAGAAGAACATCGTTAAGAATTCATCCCAGATTGAACTGTTCAGCGAATTAATTTTGTAATTATTATGAACAGAAGAAAATGGGTGAAAATAATGGACTTTTCACAATCGTAAGATATTGTGATAGTCAACGGCTGGATAATGTTGGTTATCAATAATTTTGCTGATGGTTCGACACTCATGGACTTATTTTTGTATCGAAGGAATTTCATAATGTCAACTGCTACCCAAGCTTGTCGGGATCAGCTTCATTGTCTTTTGCAGACTTCTCGAATTTGAACTGCAAATGGAACTCACCGCCATCCATAGGGTATCCAGCAGCAGCAGCGGCTGCATGCAGCGCGCCGTACTCCTTGCCATCCATGCCGCCCAGCATCATCGCACTCACTTAACACACCACCGACATGCGTCGCCGACGCTCGCCGCGCGCGACTGCCGCCGGCCCGCGGGCGAGCGCGCGCGCGCACGCGGCCCCGCCCCCCGCCGCCATTGGCGCGCGTCGGCCAATCGCTGCGCTTCATTTCAAACGCTTTCCTTTTTCCGTGTCGTGTTCTATTTGAAGCGTGCTGATGCATCTTTCGCTTTTGCCCAGTCATTTTCTACTCTATCAGTCTCCCATAGAGTGGGTTTTGGGGTGAGAACTTGAGAGAGCAATATGTCTGTTTTCCCGTTCGGTCGGTTGCGCTCGGGCAGCGGGCGCGACGAAAGACAAGGAAAATGTCTCGGGTAGGGCCGTTCCGCTGGTGGGCGCAGGCGCAGGGCCATAATAATATGTTCGTGCGTGTGTGTGAGGGATATGTATGTGTGCGCACTCTATGTAGCGAACTATTGTAATTGATATTTTTATGTGCATTGATTGTAGAGCGATAAATTAACGTTCAACAACGTGAGAATTTAAGTTTTCAACCGTTTTGATTTTCTTCGGACAAGACTTTATTAATTGTATCAATAATAGTATTAGGATACTAGGTTTAGGATTGAGATCAGTCTGACTTATTAGGATCAGTCGCCGCAAATCAAATAGGTAATTGAAAGTTGTCACACTCGAAATGGTTTCCAAGAGTTTTCTTGAAGATTTTCTTGATGACAGGCGTTTACTTATTTCATCTTATTTTGATTAAAAGTTTGCCGAACATTTGTGCGTGCAATTTTAGGCACATTGTATGCCTCTTATGCCGCTCTGAAAAATATAATTAAAAATAAATATTGCATTCTTGACATTGTTGCTTGAACCCTCTTCAGGAGCCACATGACATCAATAAAACGTCGGCGGAGCTACTAAACCGATAATTATGTCTTCATGCCTTGAAAAACGTTTCAGAAGCCGCCGCCGTACTCTGCTAATTACCACAAATATGTCTGTTTGTGTAAAAAGTCAAAGGCGGCGGTGGTGGGCGGTGCCGGCACTTCCTAATTTTATTTATAGGGGAAGTTTTCAGAGTCATCTATGTAACTAGTCTACAGCACAGCAGACATTTTCTTAGTACTAATACGCATTGTCATTGTAATTGTATTAAGCCACCGCTATTTTTATTTCAAGGATTAAAAATATGAAAATGATTGGTGTTATCTCTACATTTTACACAATCGAATCTTCATAGTCCTCTTAAACACAATCGTCTGACTTCATACAAAATTGCAGGTCAATAAAACTTAAGTTACATAAATCTGCCTGAATCTTGAACCATTGTCTTGGACATGATTATTATTTACTCTATTATTACAGAATCTATACTAATATTATAAAGCTGAAGAGTTAGTTTGTTTATTTGTTTACTTGAACGCTCTTATCTCCGAAACTACTGGTTCGATTTGAAAAATTATTTCAGTGTTAGATAGCCCATTTATCGAGGAAGGCTATAGGCTATACAACATCACGCTACAATCAATAGCAGCAGAGCAATAATGAAAAATGTTGCGAAAACGGATTTTCACGCGTACGAAGTCGCGGGCACAGCTAGTAATACATAATAATTTTCATAATTTTCTATCGACCATTTTGTTACCATGTTTCTGAGCAAATAAATGATTTATTTATTTATTTTATTTAATAACTACTTGTGCCATGGTAGGGGAGCGTGTGAATGAGACACGGGTTGTAGTTAGACTCTGATATTAATCTGTTTATTAATGTGAACTGCGTGACTATTTATACGATATAGATTAAAGGTAAATGACGTCACAGCATCAGCACTATACGTGATAAATGTGCTGACACTGTGAACGTGATCAAGATAAGATATGAAGAGATTTAGTATTGTGCATACCGGCACAGTACTCCCCCCCTTTAAATAAGAAAAAATAAAATAATGCGCTAACTACAATAACATACATAAATTATCTACGTTAATACAGTGGGCTAATTCAAAAGAGACTGAATAAAATTGATGCGTGTACTGATTAATGTTATTAACCACATGCAAAGCTTCGTGAATTGCAACAACTATAATTTATTATTCAAGCTCTAAATAATCGCTACTAAGAGTAACTTATCATAAAATGTTTTTCCAATCGCTCAAGCTCCCAAGGGCCTACCGATAGGTCGGGTGACGTAATCTTGAAATTCTTTAAGCCAGCGCAGAACTTCCAGAAGGTCGGGCGACGCCACGGCCACTTTGAACTGTATTTACTTCTGCAGTTATATTTTATATTTATTCGATTCTAGAATATATTCCCAAAAAGTCTGAAAGGTGTTCTAATTTGTATCACTTGGATATGATTTGTATTAGAAAGTGTTGTGAGTGTGACGCTTGAAGAGAAGGAAGTCAACCTAACTAACCAACTGCGTATTTTTATACTGTGTAGCTGGAAATTGTGGCGGGAGCTCTTTGGCGCGCTGTCTGCGGCGAAGAATTGCGCGCGCAGATTTTGACAGCGCGAAATACCTACTTTAGAAGAAATACCAAGCCTTAAGAATTGCATGATAAATCTGTCCGTAAAAGTTACATTTAAAAGTTTTGATATTCCATGGTGACGGCGTGTGAGTGTACCTAGTCGTGATTATGAGCAACATTTCTTTAAGTTTTTTCCATATTGTTTTCTTTCATAACAACATTATTGCTCAAAAGTGGACATAGTGTAGTCGTGATTATGATGATATGAGTAACATTTCTTTAGTCTTTCAAGTTTTAATTTTCTTCCAGCCGTCCTATTCTTCGTTCTGCTACCGCTACCAGAGTCGCCAGTATGGCTGGAGAGTCGCGGGGCTGACGCATCGTCTGCTGTCAAGTGGCTGCACCTCTCTGCGCGTGCCACCGCCATCGTCAAGGACGCTCCAGAGTTAGTAGATTAGATTATTATTAAATAATTAAGGTAATTATTATGTACATTCTTCATGGACACCTGCAGTATATTCAATGAGCTGTTAACATAAGTCAGTGGAAAGGAAAAAATTGACATTTGGCCACATGGCGCTTTAGCATTTTTTCCTTTTTACTGATGATATACATATTATCTCTAATCAATACATAATTAAAGTTTTAGATAATTATCGGAAGTTCTTAGACTTAATTAGATGATGGCACTTAGTTTTTCTTTGAATTAAGTACGGTCACACTTATGCACTGAAAGCATATTCAATAATGTTACAAGTAGAATAGAATAGAATAGAAAGTATTTATTTGTCTCAAAGTAGCCTTTCTTTTATCTTTAATTCTATGAAATAAATTCAAAGTTTACAATTTCAGAAAGTCAGAGGATCCGACCACTCCGCCCAGTCTGTTCACGCGCAAGGTGTTCTTCTCGTCGGCGGTGATGAAGCCGCTGGTGGTGGGCTTCGCGCTGCTGTTCTTCCAGCAGTTCAGCGGCATCGACGCCGTCATATTCTTCACCGTTGAGATATTTGAAAGCGCAGGTACTAAATACAATTATTATTACAAAAAAAACCGTTTTTTAGGTAAAATAATCTGCTATATCCATAGCAGCGAAAGGGCACTGACTGACTCACTCACTCATCACGAAATCACAGAAACTACAAGCGCTAGGAGTCTCAAATTTTGCATGGGGGTTCCTTTTAGAACGTAATAATAATCACCTGTATGGTTCCCGTTTACCCCCATCCTTTTCTATCAACAAACTTGTCAAAGAGTAAAATTGTGACGGCAATATGTTGCCAGTAAGAAAGTAAACACTATTGCGGCAATATTTACTCTAGTATCTGACATGACCGACCGTTGCGCTCAAGCGGTCAATCGCGCGCGCGCTTTTTGTTTTGATCGTATTTTTTTGTGTCAAATATCGAGTATGAACTTTCTTACGCATTTAAATATTGTAGTTAGTACTTAGATAATTTAATTTTTTACTACTATCCCGTCTTTGCAGGCAGCAAACTGGACGCAATGACAGCGACAATACTAGTGGGGCTGGTGCAGCTGGTCATGAACGGCGTCAGCACCATGCTGGTGGACCGCGCCGGGCGCCGGCCGCTGCTGCTCGTGTCCGCCGCCATCATGTGCGTTTCCATGGCCTCCATGGGCGCCGCCTTCTTCTTCGAGTTCGAGAAGGAGCAGTGGCTTGGGTAACATTTATTTTCCGTTAGGAATAAATAGTAGGTAAAAACATTTGTTGCAACGGGATATCTCAAACCAAAACACAATAAAGCACAAGAAAAAAAAGGAAGAAGAAAAAAAACGGAACATTTGAAATGAGCCAGCTTGTTGCAAACAAGCAATGAAACCCCACTTACGATGTCGTGACCTTGGTTTTCAATGTGGCCAATGCCGTGTTTCATTACTATGTATGGTCTAAAGTTGATAGTAGCTTTATAATTATACTTCATACGAAAAGTTTAGAACATTTTCCTCTTTTTATTACGTTCCAAGTTACCGATCTGACGTCTGAGGCGGCTAATTCAGTCTGACTAGGGCATCCGGGTTGCTAGGGTTGTAAGTGTTGTGATCTGTACTGTATTGTATTTTAATTACTGTGTACGTATATTCCAGGTACTTGCCCATCATAAGCCTGGTGGTGTTCATGGTGGGCTTCTCGCTCGGCTTCGGCGGGCTGCCGTTCCTGCTGCTGGGCGAGCTGTTCCCCACGCACTACCGCTCGCAGCTGTCCGCGATGGCTAGCGCTGTCAACCTGCTCTCTATGTTCACTGTCATCAAGTCCTACCACGCGCTTGAAGTAAGTACGCTGTCATTTTTGTCTTTAGGATTTAACAATTTTAGTTAGGTAAACAATTATAGGCAGCCTGATTTTCTGCGGAAAAGTTTTGTTTGCAGCAAGTTAAAATAGGTAGGTATTACTGCCAGGGATACCTACCATAACGCCAACACACCATTAATATTGACTTATTGACTTTTCTTGGAATAAAATTATTTGTTTTTCACAAAATCTCCGAGAGCATCTAGGATTAAGTTTAAATTTTAATTACCCACATAAAAAAGCATCACACTGGTGTGTAATATTTATCTATTTTGACGACAAGATAAATTAGATAAATGATAAACATTATCTCACGAATACATACTTAATACCTGAAATGAACCTTTATAACGCCGGTTAACACTATACCTAACACTCATCCCGATTGTGTGCCTACTTGAACCAACAAATAAAGCAGCTGTCATTTACAATGACTTTTTTTTCAGGCGGTGCTTACTTCAGCGGGCACCTTCTGGATGTACTCGTGCTTCTGTGCGTTGGCGTTCTTCTTCGTGCTCTTCGTGGTCCCAGAGACCAAGGGCAAGTCGCTCGCGGAGATCGAACAACATTTCCGCGGCGACAAAAACAAGGAAGCAATCAATTTGCCCACGGTATCGGCTAACTGCTAGGGCAGTGCAATTAAAAGGACAATGCAAATATTGTGACAGTAAATTATAGAGACTCTTTTGTGTAGAACAAGAGTTGTGAAAAAGTAGACGGCTATTAGACGTGTTTAGAATTACATGGCGCTGTTGATAAGATATTGTAACTGTTATCACCACCTCCTTTTTGAGTCGCTGTAGTCGGGTAAAAGTATTTGTACTCGTAGTAGGTAATAAAAGTATGTAGCTGGAATAATTTAATTCGAGTTAGATACAATTTTCTTCTTTTTTCTTCTGCCTCGCCTTATTCCGTTGCGCGGGTTGGCTTTTCCAATCATGCGCCGCCTTTTGATTCTATCTTGAACGTCTTGTTCGTGGAGTCCCAATACTTCCATGTCCTTTTGGACGTTCGTCATCCAGGAGGTTTGACGTCTTCCTCTTCCCCTCTTTTTTTTGTAGTACAAATTTGAAAGTAAAAAAGCAAAATATTATGGAAACATTATACGATATTGGTGCATGAAGTAGGTTACCTATAACAATTTAATGACGGGTAATACCATAATCGCTAGCTGCGTTAACTGTTGAGCGCAAATTAGGTACGATCATTATGTCAGATTATGTCTTGCATCTGAGAAGTGATTTTCAGTATGTCCCGACCGGTCGGGGGTGAAGACCCCCGAAGGCTTTAAAAGATCACATAAGAAAAATTTGTACCTACTACAAACAGTTTTGTAAAAATTAACAATATGCTTTTATAAAAAATCTCATAGAGAAGCGTTTAAAGAAATTATTAAAATAATTATTTAAATAAATATTTTTCCATTTGTAGAGTCGCGCCGTGAAATAGGTTGACAAACAGTGATAGCATTCTTTTTAGCTGATAATTGTAGTAAAAATATTAAATTATTGACTTAGTGCCAAAAACAAAATGGTTGTGTGTCTAGAAAACAAATGAGTGTGAGATATTATTTTTCATAGTTTACATTTATTTTTATTTAGATACGTAAGCAGAAAATGATAGACAATTATAGTCAATATTAGTTTTTTATAATATGATACAAGCCCATATTATTTATGCATTTTTAGACAATATTATGTTTAGTTTTGAATTAAACATTACCTACTTTGTAATGTTAAAGAGAAAGGGGTATGAATAAAAGTGAACCATGTTAAAAACTAGAATTTAAGTAGTGTTAGTTGTAGGTTTTATAACTGTGATATTCTATATTTTTAGACGATATCTATCTTAGTTAAATAATACCATCAATAAAAGTGTATAATTATATTCTTGTAAATAAATTGAATCGCAATAATGACGAAAGTAAAATTGTTTTATTTTTCTAACGTTTGTTCGCAACAGCTACAACTGAAATCCTCTTGAAATGTCTTATCAACTTGATAAAGTTGTAAAGCAAAAGTTATTCCTAATTTAGGTAATTGGAGTGCTTTTTTCGTAGCGTATTTAAAAACGTTATGTACCCTTACTTTCAAAATTTCTTAGCTTGACCACACTTCGTTACCTGAAATTAGTAAAAACAAGTCTTCATTTACGTGGATTTGTCGAAAGAAGCCTTCGTCGAAATTATAAACATTTTATTTAATTATCTCATTAATTATATGATAATTACGTCACTGCTTACTATTCCAAGTCCAAATCCGTATTGATTCTTCATAGCAATAAATAAGTCAACGAAATCGATGTCTATCATGACGGGCCAGGGTTGTCAAAACTCAAATGTTTTAAGTTATAGAGACTTTTATGTAGAAACTTTGCTTATTATTTGGTTAAGGTCATGAGTTACTGTTTTTGTAAAATCAATCATTATTTGTTTAATAGTTCGTACACAGATTTCAATAAGATACCAAGTGTCTTAATAGACACTATCCTATGTCTACTACTACCACTATGTCTTAATATCCTAATGGATAGAGTTAAGAAATACACGTAGAAAAGCACTTGTGAGCATATCACTATATTATAGAGTTCTCTTCCAGCCGACTACGGTGACAGGGGATTTAGGTTTGGAATATTATAAATAACTTGAAAAAAAAAACGAACTGCCTAATTGGTCGAAATTAGTTTGAGATGCAATTCTTAACGCTAAAAATTAAATAACTAATTTAGAATATTATGTAGAGAGATGCGTAGGTAAGTAGTCCATATAAAGTTTCAACGCTTAGGTACAAGTACAATCATAATAAATAATAAAACCGAAAGATTGCCAAACTGAATGTTTTACGTTGTGATTTTTAAAGCAAGAATTAATAAAACCTATAACATTGGCAGCCCTATGCAGCCGGCGTTGTTTACGGGTGGCATCCGCGAGGTTGCGCCACTCGCACACGCTCGCACGACTCTAACTAGCGGTGGCTGGCACAGATCGCAGCACGTATGGACAGATTAGAGAGATGGGACCTCAATGAGATCACACATTGTATGTTCTTCTTATAATACACTACAATCGTTTTTGATGCAACGCACTGTGTGTTTCCTCGTATACATGTTTTTGATGCCTTGGAAATTCAAAATGGTCTTCTTTGACAATCAATATGAAAGTTAGGTAGGTAAATATATGTAGATACAATGACTCAAGCTCACCAAGATCGCTGATAAATACATCTTTAATTAAACTACAATTCTATATCGTGTAAGTACTAATTTTCTTGCTTATTTTAATTAAGTATTCTATTCAGCTATAAGAGGCTTTTTAAAAAGTCTCTTGAAATCCCTATTTTCCGATATTGGTGTCACAACGTGTTAATTATGAGCCATGTGCAGCAATATTAGCTCAAATAAACAGATTCAGTTCGCCGGCAGATGCACGAAATTAAAAGCAAAGACACGACACGCGTGCACCGCTTGCATTACACTAGGATCACGCTCCCCGGCACCATCCCGGCTATATAAACGCGGCCAACAGAAATTTAATCTATTCAAAAGCTAAACCTTAATAAAGGAACACCATCCTCTAGAAATATCAATAATTGCATTTAGGATATTTATGCAATACACTTTGCGATGATTTTAGTAAGTTTTTTTAACACAATTATCTATAAAACGGCGAAACTTTTGCAATTCATTAATAACCACTTATTTCACAGCACGTACTCTGGTTGAGCGCCCTTGCGTGGTCGATGAGCAAATGTGAACCACCAGTGAACAGTTATCTACCTCCAAATGCTGGAAACGGCGGTCGACCCTCATCAGAGTACGGCCCACCTGGCAGAAACGGAGGGGGTGGAGGCTCATCAGGCCCAGGCGGAGTAGGCCGGCCCAGTGGAGGAAATAACCTAAATCAACCTCAAGATTCATACTTCCCACCAGGACAGTCCGGGAGTTCTCCGGATACGCAGTATGGCCCTCCTTCAGGGCGGGGAAATCAAGGTCCGCAAAGGCCTCAGTTCGGTTCTCCCTCCCAAAATGGTCAAAATGGTTTTGGCCAAGGAAACGGAGGCAATGTACCTAGTTCGGAATATGGAACTCCCGGTCAGAATAATCGCCCAGGCTCTTCTCGACAGCCTTCTGGCCAAACGCCTTTCGGAGGTGATAATCGACCTCAGTCATCATACGGTCCTCCTAACGGCAATCAAGGTTTTAATAGCCCATCATCTGGAAGAGGCAACGGAGGCCCTGGATCAAATAATGGAAGGCAAGGTCAACGTCCTGAAAGTTCTTATGGCCCGCCCCCCACAGGTGGTTTTCAGGCACCAGGCAGCGGCCCCAGTGGCCGTCTTGATTCCCAAATGCCCGGATCGTCATATTTGAGTCCGGGTTCTGATTCATCTCCTGGTGGGTTTGGGGGAAGGCAACAATCTGGTGGTATACCGTCTTCCTCATATGGCACCCCTGGTTTTGGTGGTAGTGGAGCAAGTGGGAGAGGATTTGGTATTGGAAACCAAGGCTCTGATTTTGGCGGTGATGAGTCTGACGTAAGGATTTTAACCGTTATATTAAATTAAATATGAATAATGGCTCTTGACAGTTGATTTATTTACTGTTTCTGCTGCAGGAGCCGGCTAAATACGAGTTTAGCTATGACGTGGACGACCCGCAGACAGGTACTAAATTTCATCATTCAGAACAACGTGACGGTGACGTGGCCACAGGGGAGTATAATGTAGAGCTGCCCGATGGTAGGAAGCAGGTTGTCGAGTACGAGGCGGGGCTGCAAGGATACAAGCCTCAAATACGCTACGAGGGTTGGTTCTTTACTTGATATTGGTCAGCGCGTTCGACTTCGCATTCGATGACTTTTAAATCTGGTTTGAGTTGATTTTCCACTGTTTTTCGTGTCTTCCTGCTATCATGTAACATTGCTAATAAATTCAATTTGCAATGAGATTTCCAACCATGTGATATTTGTGTTTATTATTTATGAAAATGTCTGTTGCTAACCAATTTCATTTTGTTGTTAGGTGGAAGCGGAGGCGCAGGGTCCGGTTTTGGTTCGGGTTGGTATCCTAAATAACTTGAACTACTTATCTCTATACATTGAAATATTTGCAAGGTCTATTTAGACTCTTGTTCCATTGTGTAATAAATAAACACATTATTTAATCTATTGCCATATTCTAAAACTTTTCTGTTTCATTTTATTACGCAGGTGGTAGTCGGGGACCTCAAGGTGGTCAAGGTGGTGGTGGTCAAGGATACCCACGTGGTGGTCCTGGCGAAAGCTTCCAAGGCGGCAACAATGATATCGGCTACTCTCAAGGGGGGCCTGGTCAAGCTGGCAGACCTAGCCGTTTCGAGCAGGCTAACGACTTCGACCAGGGCAGTTCAGCTCAGCTGCGAGGCCAAGAATCCATGGGGTACCCTAGAGGAGGACCCGGTAATGGAGGGAATGGACAGGGCTCTCGTGGATACCCCGGAGGCGAAGGTGGCCAGGACCAATCATTTGGACGACCTGGTAGCAATGGATTAGAGAGTTTCAATGGATCGCAAGACGGTGAGGCTGGATATCCAAGTGGGAGACCTCAAGGGGGAGATAGGAATCGGCCTCAAGGTAATGGAAGAGGTTTCCCAGGGGGTCAGGGAGGTGGTGGCGGCTATCCAAGCGGTGGGCCTCAGGGAGGCCGCGGCCCTGGTGGGTCCGGCGGGGACGATGATGGTTACCCCAGCGGTGGACCAAGTGGGCCAAGGGGCTCTGGATACTAAGGCTAAGAAACGATTCAATGGCATGCTTACTGATAAGACATGAACGCTATAACTGATAGTAATGAGATTATTGTAAATATACATAAGCAAATAAAGAATTTTATTTAAATGTATTTACTTGTTTTATTTCTCTCCATATTATGTAATTATTTATCAAATAAGGTATTATTTCACACGAGCTAAATAATAAAAAATAACAATGTTTTACTACAGTATTTTTGGTTCCGTAAACACAATTATAAAATATCACCAGTTTAATAATACTTAATAAATTAAATGCTTCTAAAAATAAATCCGTTAAACACAGTTCATATTCAGTATACAATTTTCTAAGTTATATTTATCTATTTAACAAATGCCCTATTTACTCAAATAAAATGCATTTTTGACTAGTTTGTACGTAAAGTCATCAACATTAGTCCACACTATTACCTTAGTAGGTAGTCCTACTGGCGGTAAAAAAACAATTTTAACTCATACTCGTACTCTAGGTAGGTATTATGAGGACCTTCTTAAATCCGGTGGGGACTACATTGTCTTTGCAATCTTATTTAATAACAACAAAAAGCGTAACACGAAAATGCATATACGTTAAATGTAACAATAACATGTTTATGAATGCAGAACGTTTTTAAAAAAAAATATCGTCTTCATCAATAAAATCCATAAGCTGTATCAAGTAAATAGAATTAACTGGAATAGGCCTCAGCGTCTACGTTATTTCACGTTATAAACAACGAAGTGAATATGATATTTTGATAAATAATATACGAGTATAAGCATAATCTTAAATATCATATGAAACACTGTGGCACCATAATTCCTAGTAGGTCTTTACTTATTTTAAACTAAATATTCATTATCACTAGCAATAAATGGAGAAACCACTGGAGTAAAATTGTAGTTGAAGCAATCTCACCTGAAAGAAATAATACATAAAATATTAATTCACAGGATTTTCATTCGACAGATGGAAAAAAATTAGAGTGCTTTTAACACAGTCTTGTCTCTTTTTATCACTTTTTTAAATGAATGAATGAATATACTTTATAGTTTTCTTAATATACCTCTATTCTTTTGTGCTCTGGTGGTATTTTTTCTGAGGTTTGGGTCGTAAAAAGTGTAATGCGTCTCCTGAAGATACAGCGGCGGTATTGTTGCTTGGCACTGTAACAAATTGTTTCAAATTGTTACAACTGCAATTTATTCTAAAGGGACTAGGCCACTCTAGTAAGATTCATAATAATGGATAAAAAATGCTTATAGATATTTATTTACAGAAATAAATACCACATTAAAGTCATTCATGGCTTCATGCACAAATGCATTTGTATATTTCAACATCATTAATTGTAACGCGCGATCGCTACTACGAGTACTATCAAGCCAAGGGTCATTAGTAAAAAAAATAAAATGATTACATACGATTTACCTTTAATGTCATAGCTCCTTGCTCAAAGTGGCTCTCCAGTGCCTGAAATTTGAGTCTTAACTTCGCTTGGTAAGTATGCGGCATATTCGTCGGTAACACCAGGTAGGGTCCAAGCAAGTAGCTGCTAGGAGCTGGTCTGCCATTGATGAACCACTTGAATTGGGCCTCGGGCCGCGATGGCGTGGTAGTACAGTTGACATCCACGTAGCTTCCACTGTGGTATTCTGTTTTCAGACCGTCTACTTTGGGACCAGTTTTCGGCAAGACTGAAAACATTTTAAGCAGAATTGAGAATACCAAAATGTATTATTAGAAACCTATTATGGTGTTGGTGGGCGACAGATAAACATTAATCAGATTTAGAATGTAGCTAATTAAATTCAGTATTATTGGGTCTCTTTGTTGTTTTTTCCGCAAGCATCTCTCCGCTCCAGGTAGTTTTGGGACTAACCCTCTTTTATGAATATATGTTTGAATATGAATTTCGTTATAATAATACTAATAAAGATTACCTGAGTAATGTTACAAAACTTCAATCAATAACAATCTATTTAATAATGTGCCATCAGAAAACAGACATATTTGATGGGAACTGGTATTTCATAATTTTACGATTGCTGCGTTACTTTGTTGTAACTACACGCATTATTTGTACAGAAATTCCTCTCATTACAGTTCTTAACATTGTAGCAAGTAGCGGTATACATTATATCAGTTAGATAGAGACGGTACATCAAGCTAAACACTGTAATTAAATCAAAGATGCAAATGATAAAATGCTTCTTTCTTATGTAGAGACATGAACAATAAATAAATAAAATAATCTACGATGACTTGGATTATGTGGGAAACGAATATACTTAAAAACTAAAAAAAACCTTGTACAGAGTATTAGAAAACTACAAAAAAAAATCAGCCAAATCGGTCAAGCCGTTTTCATGTTATGTCGTGACAACGGAAAACGGGTTTCATTTTTATATATACAGGGTGGAAACGTTAAGTGATCTCACTCGATTATTTCTAAACTATACAAGATATCGAAAAACTGATTACTGATTCTGAAAGTACTTCACAAGCTCTTTCAAACGGTACTAATAATAGGTTACAGAATAAATTGGATCTATCCGAAAATTCAATGTTTCCAGCTTACATACGTTTAGAAAAACCACATAATATTAAAAACTATACAAGATATTCAAAAACAGGTTACTGATCCTGAAAGTGCTTTACGAGTTCTATCCAACGGTACCAATAATAGGTTAGAAAATAGACTGGATCCATTCGAAAATTCAATGTTTCCAGCTTCCATACATTTAGTACAGCCACAGTCATGGCACTCAAGTCTTATTAATATTATAGCAAGTAAAGCCAACACCAATGTTTTTCACGAATAATTTTAAATAAGAATACAATTTACGAATACATTTTAAGTGTTTATTATTTAATAAAAAAATTAATACTTCTATTATTGTTTGGCTGGCATACATTTAGTATGGAGGCTGAAAACATTAAATTTTCGGATAGATCCAGTTAATTCTTTAACCTAATATTGGTACCGTTGGATAGAGCTTGTGAAGCACTTTCAGGATTAGTAAACAGTTTTTCGATATCTTGTATAGTTTAGAAATAATCGAATGAGATCACTTATCATTTCCACCCTGTATAGGAGAATCGTCCATAACTGTTGAACATAGGTCTCCCAGGTCGTCGGTCCACCTCACGCTGACGCTGCGTTTTCCGGTACGTGGCCTCCACTCCAGAACCTTGCTGCCCCATCGGCCGTCAGTTCTGCGTACTATGTGCCCTGCCCATTGCCACATCAGCTTGCTAATCCATCGGGCTATGTCAGCGACTTTAGTTCGTTCACAGATCTCCTCATTTCTGATTCGGTCTCGTANGGATGCCGACGATTTTCGCGCTGTCATCTCAACGACTGCCCACCCTTGTCGTTAGAGCAGTCGACTGGATAGAAAGCATGGAAATAACATGGTGATTGATAAACTAGGTGCAAATAAACATATTTTATAAACACAGAATGCTTTTTGCTTAAATTTGAACATAAATTTACCATAATATAACTTATTACACTTATGTCTGGATTTGTAAGCAGAAATATGGATAGGTACCTACTGGATGGAGTGGATGACATAGTGGATGGAGTGTTTTGTAAAACTGTAAAAAAAACTTTACCACTAGCTGCTACTAACTGTAACTTACACAAACTTCTGCCGTTCACCGCTAGGGGCGCTGTGCAATCTGCCATACATTTTGTACGCACTTGGTAAGGTTAAACTTATGGTAGAGCTACAGAACTTTCATATAATAAATTATCATGCGCAAAAATTAGTCTGTTTGGGCCCGCCATACACGGACAGTTCGAGCAATTAGCCAGTGGTCAACATAAAGGCACGGACCGCTTTTGCAGCCAGTCAACAGCTTGAATCTACCATTGATAGGTAACTGCTGGAGTAGTTGGTAGTGAAACTGCTCAACAGGTCACAATTTCATTTTCATTCAAATCATTAGCAACATTGATTTTGAGGAAGAGGAACCACTGCTACTTTGTAATATTTGCTCGAGCAGTCAGTATAAAATATACCTGGCAACTGAAATTTCACCGTGCCGAAGTAGTCACAACTGCTCGAGCAGTAGGGTAATTGCGCCGGTTTTCCGTCCAGCTCCTGTTTTCGTCCATTTGACCGACTTGCCACAAACAAATATGGAAAATTAGAATACAAACCTAACTTTCCGTGCAAGTTTGGACTTGTTACAATCTATAATATCTAAGTAACAGTTCTGCCTGTATGAAAATGTAATTTGACAAGTAATAACTCCAAAAAAATCTACGGAAGTTGCTGCTGCACACAGGTGAATGGAAAACGTCGTCAAGTTAGAAAAAAAACGTGCCGGTAGGGAACTTTCATGGTATGTTTAATTACTGTTTTAGCTACTTTACGTAATGTTTTTGGCACGTATGTCTAATTATTGGCATAATAAACACTATTTTGAGGGTTTATTAAAGTTTTTGTATATAAATATTACATAATTAAGTGGACTAATACTAGCATAACAATTTTGCAAGATTTTGGTTTTCGTCCACGTGGACGGAAACCCTGACACCTAGTTAATATTTTTAATAATCATTTTACTTCAATGGACCTACAAAATACAATGTTTTTTCTTATAATATGATCTTTNCAGAAACACCGAGCATTTTCATTGCACGCTGTGCAATTTTGAGCTTTTTTATGAGGCCTACAGTGAGAGGCCACGTTTCATTTTAAATAAGAATGACTTATTAAATAAAATATGTAGTGCTTACGGTCGACAGTGACGCGCTTGTCCCGGGAAGCGGTGGGGAAGTCCGGGGCCTCTCCGTACACGCTGCACTGGTACACCCCGGACGAGTTGCGCGTCAAGTGCTTCAGCGCGACCGTGTTCAAGGAGGAGCGGTTCAGCTGAAAGATTTAATAAAAAAAAACCTTAGAGTAAGTAGAACATTGTTTATTTGGCACACAATAGAACATAATACATACATAAATGACCAAAAACAAACCTTATCCCAATTAAATTAAAATAGTTTGAGTGCCCTGTGCCAAAAAGGTCCCTGGCTCAGTATTAGTCGTGACATTAAAGGCGCCACGACACGACACTGGTTTTCAGCAAGGACCTTTGGGGCACTGGCCCTTAAATTCTTTACACCAATATTCTCAATTGGATTATTTGCTTGCGCGGGGCGTGCAACATGTGTTTGTAACCGCAAAAAGCCCGAGCATGCATCAACCCGTGAAGCAAATTTAATTTAGGAGGTATTTTTGAAATACATGACTAGCGAGGGGAGGGTAACCCAATCCTCCATTTACCTCTGGTAACTAGAGACAATTGTTTTCCTATAGGTTATTTACCTGATGATTATGATGATGATGGTTTATGAATGTAACTTGTTGAAGCGAAAGACATTTTTTGCCTCTTTAGCGAATACAACCAGCGCAGAATTATGAGACCTTACTAGGTAAGGAGACCGAAGAGAGTTGTAACAGAGGAGAGTTGAGACATTGACGATTTTTTGGAACTAATTAACTATCAGCGAACTCGCAAACTCGCAACAGCACGTATTTGTTAGCTCGAGACTTGAACTAAAAAGCGCGCACTGTCGTCAATGTCTCAACTTTCCTCTGTTACAACTCTCCTTGGTCTCTCTACCTAATTCAAATTCTAATTCTTTTTTTTTATTGCATATTACCTACTCAAATATTGATCGTATAACAAAAGTAGGTAGTTTAAGTAACTAAACAATAAGCTCTACCTATTTATGATATGACCTAATTCATAAACCGGGTTTATAGTGACACAATCGGCGTGACGACGCCACGAAATATCCGTCAAACTCGTGAATGATACGAAAATAAACAAAACGTTTGGACATATGGCACTGCGGTGGCATCATCTCTACCTTTAACTGAGTTTGCATCTGGAATAGATAAAATACTTGGAAATTTTGTCAGGTTTCTTACCATGAACTCACCATGAACTCACCATGAGCAGGGCAAGNTTAAATTAAAATAGCTTTGAGTGCCCTGTGTCAAAAAGGTCCCTGGCTCAGTATTAGTCGTGACATTAAAGGTGCCACGACACTGATTTTCAGCAAAGACCTTTGGGGCACTGGCCTTTAAATTCTTTACACCAATATTCTCAATTGGATTATTCGCTTGCGCGGGGCGTGCAACATGTGTTTGTAACCGCAAAAAGCCCGAGCATGCATCGACCCGTGAAGCAAATTTAATTTAGGAGGTATTTTTGAAATACATAGCTAGCGTGGGGAGGGTAACCCAAATCATCCATTTACCTCTGGTAACTAGAGACAGTCGTTTTCCTATAGGTCATTTACCTGATGATTATGATGACAATGGTTTCAGAATGTAACTTGTTGGAGCGAAAGATATTTTTTTCCTCTATAGCGAATACAACAACAAACAACGTTGATACAATGTTGATCATAAGTTATAACAAAATCAGTCAAATAGCTAAACAATAAGCTCTACCTATTTATGATATTCATAAACTACTTCATAAACCAGGTTTATAGTGACACAATCAGCGTGACGCCACGAAATATCCGTCAGACTCGTGAATGATACGAAAATAAACAAAACGTTTGAACATATGGCACTGCGGTGGCATCATCTCTACCTTTGACTAACTGAGTTTGCATCTGGAATAGATAAAATACTTGGAAATTTTGTCAGGTTTCTTACCATGAACTCACCATGAGCAGGGCAAGCGAAAAATGTCGTGGCAATTTATAAATAGTAGCAGTAAATAAGAAAAATAAACAATATTCTTTGGCACTTTTTCAATGCACATGTTTTTCAATTAAATTACAAGATACATTACCACAGTAGTATCTAGTTTCGCCATGTGTCGGCGAAATCAAAAAATAAATACTAAAAAGTATTCAAAATTACATCAACAAAAACTCCTGGCACGAAGCACGACCTCATTTGTGGGACTGCCTGGGGCATGTACCGGTAGAACTCCTTGCTGTCCTTGAACCATTTGAGTGAATACAGCGCGACGGGGCCTAAGTCAAAGCCACAGCCCAGCAACGCGTCACCACCTTCTGCTAAGTGCGCGCCTACGTGAAGCTCTACGATACGCACGCTGTTTTGGCACAGCCAGTTTATATACTTCATAGTTTTTAAACTTACATCAACCACAACTCCCGGCACGAAGAACGACCTCATCTGCGGGACTGCCTGAGGCATGTACCGGTAGAACTCCTTGCCGTCCTTGGACCATTTGAGTGAGTACAGCGCGACGGGTCCCAAGTCGAAGACACAGCCTAGCAGCGCGTCACCACCTTCTGCTAAGTGCGCGCCTACGCGAAGCTCTACGATACGCACACTATCTACATCACCTGAAAAGTAGATAATAAGNGAGTATATTGTGTGTGTCAGTTTACGCAGCAACGTCAAATATATAGCCTTAATTTATGTTAGTGTGAGGGTGGCGCGTACACATACTACACTAGGCCTAGGTGTTTTTCCAAAATGGGATATAATAAAAGACACTTCAGGTGGAAATTAACTTTAAGGGCATGTAATAAGTTATTATAATTGACCTGTAGGTACTCGTAGTGGTTGTAGGTTGTACAAGATCTTTTTTTACGTGAGGAAATAGATGAATGGGATTAATTTATGCATCTGTTTACTCAGTTAAAAAAAAATCTTATTTAGGTAATGTATTTGAGACAGTAAGGTCCTATTACTTGTATTACTACGGTCGTATAAACCAAGTTCTCATACATCTCATAAATACGTGCTAAAACTTTTAGATGATACCGAAAACATATGAAAAACATTTTTTATGGCATTTCGCGTTTCGAAAGCCCTGTCATTGAAATAAATCTGATTTCAGTTTGTTCTAAATCACGATTTACAGGCAATAAAACGTGAGGCGATTGTCAAAAGGCGGCTGATCTCGGAGGAGTGGTGGTCCTTCGCATGCGGAGCGCGTCGCCGCAACAGAATGTTTATGTGCTGAAACAAAGTGCCTCTTGTCTTCCACTTTCAGAATCAACGTTATGTTATGCCGTTTACGTATACGTGACTATCCAGATAGATCAGCTAGATAAAACCCTATAGTTATTATAGGTCCTGCCCATTTAGTAATTTAAGTATTATAAAACACATAGATCGCTTTTTAATTTAAGAATAATTGACCTCAATAATGTGGTGAATGATTATCTTAAAAAGCTATAAACCATCTATACTCACAAATATATTATACGTGACTGTATTCGGACTTACTAAAGGCATTAATTTTGGGAAATTAACAGCTCTACATTGCATATTGCATACCTACCCATTACAAAAATTACATACTGTATGCACACAATTCAGTTTAATGTCAAAAACATTTAGTGAAGGTAGGTACGAGTACATACATTAAGGTAGACTATCTATCTATATGAAAAGCTTAAATAAAAAATGAAAATTTTAAATTTCCAGACTTAGTGGTTTACCACGAACCAATCTATTTCGAGACTACTCCAGACATTTTACAAGTATTGTTAGACCGAAGTAGCATAGCGCAAGTCTTAGTTCAAAAAAGGTTCACAGCCACGTTTAGAGTCATAGAGAAATGGTTCATCGATATTTTTACGTCGCGTATCGCGTTCAACGAACGTGTATTTTAGCAATTCCAGCAGTTAACTTTTTGACTTTTTTCTTGTGGCCGATACTCGTACTGATAAAGATTTATAAGTAAACTTATCAAGAATCATGTAATTTAATGGAATATTCTGTAGAATTCAAAATATAAAACGGATAACCTGTAAACTATTTGACCTGTAAGATAAGAAAACACAATCACGAGTAATTCAATGAGACCATGCTAATCCTAATTTTCGATTATGGCTAAATAGATTCCATGTTAAGTCTATTTACCTTGCATCCACATAAAAAACATAACGAATGGGAGTATTGTGACCCGCATTTTAATTAGCACCACTAACACAACACACTGGTAAGAAAGTTCACGTACTTGTTCAAACTATCCTCATTATCACTGCACTGATACTAAGTAGGTAGATCCTAGTTTATAGCAATAAAAATATTATATAAATTAGGTCGATTAATAATCGCGTACTCTATGTAAAATGTGCCGTTTGTGGCGGCATCAAAATAGTCCCGCAGAATTCCGGCGACGTTTCTAAATTTAAATGCCGCCGAGACTGTCACGCATGCGCACTGATTCCCGATAGGTATCAGAATTTTCGCGCTTTATTTCGTGTCATTGATTTTGTTTTAAATAATAAATCCTGGAACGGTTCAAGGTTTGATGTGTCAATATAAGTTTATCCTGCTATAACATATTTTTTAATTATCTATGAATAATAATTATGAAGAGAAATCAAATAATAGAAATTATAAACATTATATTCACAATCACAATTTTCTTTAAACTCATGCAAGTGGATGCGGTGTAAAAATAAAAATGAATAAAAACAATACCGCTCATTAAGTGACACTCAATTATTACTACCTACTTACTCTCAAAACTTTCGTTTTCGTGCTTTTATTCATGTGATAACCTCTGGCGTACTGTGTAGAGACTACTAACTCAAAGCTACGCTTTCAATGGAAAAGCGGTGCTAAAATTTATCGCTAGATGCCACTACAGGAGTTCATTCCGCGAAATTGAATGTGAAAAGAATTAATTTTCGTAGACAAACTGTCTCTGTTACCTACATTGTCCACTTTGTGTCATAAAAGGTAAGTGTAATAAAAAGTAAGTAACTAGCTACACAAAACTGGAAGTGAACTTTTCTGATTAGCTGGACACAATCTCAGAGACGCTCCAGTTGTTGTCTTGTAACTGATATTGCCCCAGTTCGCTTCGAGGGTAATTAGCACATTAGCAATTCGTGGAGCACCTTTATTGTATTCTATTATTCGTTCTCTTATTAAGATTGCTAATCCATTCATGCTGACCTTTGCTTAAGGTAGCAACGAGTCTATAAAAAGATACAGTACCTCTAGTAGGAAAAACTTTCGAGTTCGTTTCGTTTGCGTATTCAAAGTGCCATCGAAAAATTTTGTATGAAAAATTAAACAGCGCCCCCTATATTATAGCCGCCCTAGGGGGCGCTGTTTAATTTTTCATACAAAATTTTTCGATGACACTTTGAATACGCAAACGAAACGAACTCGAAAGTTTTTCGTACTAGAGGTACAGTACCTCTATACCTCTAGTAGGAAAAACTTTCGAGTTCGTTTCGTTGCGTATTCAAAGTGTCATCGAAAAATTTTGTATGAAAAATTAAACAGCGCCCCCTAGGGCAGTATTTTTCCTACTAGAGGTACAGGATTTAGTACGAATTCGAAGGAGGAAAACAGGATTGATCAAAGACGGTTTCAGAGAAATGCTTAGGCAAATAATAAATCTATTCAAAAATTAGGTTCAGGTACCTACTCGTAGGTAGTTTCAGAGATGTTTAAATATCATTCTACATATAGTACCACTAGCAGAATAGCGGAGAAAATCTCAATTAATGTTAAGTTGCGGCGTGTATGGCACCGGTAACACGGCAAATAAGTCTATTTGCTAACATTTAATATTCGCTTCGGACCCGTGTTAATTAAGGCGGGTCGAATAGGACAGGGCCCGTGTGGTCCGGCTCCCACCCTTGGCGCGAGCCAAAAGAAACAAAACGCCGCGCGCCAGGGGCTTGCGTTTATTTTGCAATCGCGATAGCAGTGTAAATATTTTTAATATGTTTAAACTAGCNAAATTTCATTGTGTAGTCATCGTTAGGAGAATTAAAAAGAGGTGGGACATATAATTGAGAACTCATTACTCACCGTACAGTTTTCCACTTGGGGTTTCAAAGTTCTTAACAGCGGTGTTTCGCTTTGTGAAGTCTTGTTTCGATTTCTTACCTAGAGCAATATTTAATCCGACAGGTTGTTGTCCTGTCAATTCAGCAAAATTTTCGACTTTTGTCATTGTTTGGTCCAACATTAACTTTAATTAAAATCAAACTCTTCAAAAACTAAAAGTTACTTGAATACTAAATAAAATAAAAGTAAGTTGTATGGCTAAGTTATAGGTTAAAATAAAACCCAGTAAAACGATCTGTCATCGACCTACCGAAAGGGCACATAAAGTATTCGAGAATGGAACTAAGTATGAATCAACTAGATGAATTGGACGTTCATGCTACTGAAATGGTCAATTTAACTGGACCGAAATTGCAACCTAGAACATAAAAAGTTTTTACGTAGAAACAAAAAGGTAAAGATTATTTCCTAAAAAATAATGCTAGTGTTTTTTATCTTACAAAAAGATTTAGTAAGTAGGTACTTAATATGTTAGTATAGTTTTCCTTCTTCTGCTCAAGCTTTTCCGACCACGTGTAGGCTTTCAGTTCATGCTCCATTTTCCAGTGTTACCCTACTCAGACCCACTTATTTTTCTTTCTACAACATTTATCCTGAAATTAAGCTTACTTTAATATACCGATGTAACAACCATTAACCCAATAGATGTACTTACTACAAAGCGTTCGTTCGTTCGTTTCAGCCGAAAGACGTCCACTGCTGGACAAAGGCCTTTCCCAAGGATTTCCACAAAGACCGGTCCTGCGCCGCTCGCATCCAAGCACCTCCCGCGACCTTCACCAGATCGGCGGTCCACGTTTTCCGGCTCGTGATCGCCACTCAAGAACTTTCCTGCCCCAGCGTACTGCCAATACCTACAAAGCGTATTAAAGAAAAAGATTAACGTTTGTGTTGTACCCAATCGGTAGTCGGCCCTCGGTCTACCTCCGCATTTGCTACTATGCAACATCGATATTGCATTCGGATACCGAACCGTTTGTTAACTCAAGCAACAAATACAAACAAGTACCTTTTATTTTTGTCGTTAAACGAAGCGGGTACTTGGGAAACCTCTTTCTTTTAAACGTGGCCTGAATAGCTGCTTACTAAAGACTCTATCCTATAAATACATTGACTTTTTAAGTTATGTTTTGATTGAACGAAGCTCAAACTAGACTCAAACTCAAGCATTCTCATAAAGCAAGTCTATATTGAATTTCAACTAGTCAAGGCATACTCGTAAAGCTAAGTTTAAGTAAATATCTAGTTTTGAACGTAGATCTAGGTTAATTTAAAATACGATACTCAATATTAATGATTGAGATAGCTTTTCTCATAGCTCTCGTTCGCGTTGATTCTGGTTTGTTACAATTAAGTTCATAGTTAACTATGAGTATATTTTCCACAAATAAAAGCGTGAATTATGTAGGTATGTACTTTTAAGTATTATTAGAATTTATTAATATCGGATCAGTGGAAGCAAACATTCCCTGTAAAACATATTGAATGTGGACGAATTATGAAGTTAGTATTTTATTCTGAAAACGAAAGACAACGTATTTCATTCAATTCTTTTATTTTTTAGGTAATACCGAGTATCGAGTTCCTACTAACAATGTTACAGTGGAGATTTATAAATTCAACAAATCATTCATATCTTTTTCATGTTTGAGTGTACAGACTATGTTAAGCTTTACTCGGAAAATTGAGTTTCCGGCTTTAACCGACTGTAAAAAATACACAGTTTCGTTCTGTATGTATTCTCAACACAAATGTAGGTACATTCAATCATATCAATTTTCAGCATCGGAAAATGGAACCTTGCGGTTTTAACATTCCCCAATATTCGTTCTGCGGGTTCACAGGTTCATTATTTCCGCTGACCGATAAAAGTACAAATAAATCTCAATGAAGACACCTCGCGTTGGCTCGCAAATGAATGATTAAACGAATAGACTTTCTTCATTTGTTTTCACTTCGGATAGGACAATAGAGCTGTGGTCGTAGTGAGGAAAATTACGCTTCCCGTGGGAGGCAGCGCGAGTAAATCATCATTAAGGCGCGGCAGCGGGACAAGCCGCGTCTTTATAAAACATTCAACTTAATACGAACACGACCGCGACTCATGCTTGAATTACAATACTTTCTTGTATGTGTTAACTTTCAGCCTATTTCATCATAGAGTTCTCTTTATAAGTCTGTTGAAAAAAAGTATTATTATGTTTTAGTTATTGTAAGGTACGATTCATCGTTATCTTCTTTAATACCTACCTAGTTTCCTTATTCCTACTCCTTTCAATTTTCATACTTTGATCCTAAGAAACAACCACCACGTAAAAAAAAATATTTCGAGGTACGATGTAAAAGATATTAGAAGTAAATAAGTAGGTAGTAGCTAAGAAAATAAAGTGGATCAGATCAAGTAGGTAGATAATTAACTGGTATTCAAATATAAAAAAATAAGTTGTTTACGGCTGTGCCTTAAGTCTACTTCCTCATAAAGAATCTATTACATTATTTAAAAAATAACTCGGGAAAACACAAAGTATGTACAAGAAGAAAAGTCTCAGTGTTAAATCAGTTAAGATTTATGAAGCAATTACAAGCTAGCGAGCTTCTTCTAGACCCTACTATATTTATAAAACATCATAAATGCGGGGTTTCAAATGTTATAATAATATTTTCACATGATTGCTATTCATCGCGGCATTATTTTAACAATCCAAGTATTTTATATTAACATTGCCTAAAAAGTCAGACCGAAATATTTATTGGCGTAACTACACAGAAATTTATGTTTGCATTATTAATTCAGGTTCTATCCACCATTTGACTTTGAGTAGACACTCAACTTACAAACATCGTTACGGTTGATTCAGGTATATCATTAAGTTAGTTGAGAACTTTAAATGCACGACATTTATGAAACTGTCGACTAGCCGCAAACTTTTGTTAATCAGAATAGCGGTGAGGTGCCGGGTCAAACTAGTTTAGAATTTTCACCTCGGTTTATCCTCAACAGAGGTCGAAGTGGAAACATTGTCTAATTATTCAATTTACACAGGTTAATTGCCCGTGAGTATTGCGTCTTTAGATATAACGTCGGGCTATTTGGATACTGCACTCAAGTAGTGTTAGAGCATCTAAGCTCCGCCTATAAATTTCATAAAGCCTTGAGCACTTCTATCTTCAGAACTACTTCATCTCTAATCTTCATTAGGTTACCTAGTTATTTACTAAGTTTACAATAAGAATAAATTAGGAGAGTTCCAGTGTCAGTAATATTAGACTTTTCTTAGAATTGTCATTTGTTTTTTA